AAATACAAAAAAGGATGCTTGTGAGGATAAGGGGAAAAGGAACCCTTACACACTGTTGGTAGGAATGTGAATTATCAGCATGGAGGTACTTAAAAAACCAAAGATAGAACTACGATATGATCCAGTTATACCACTTTTGGGGGTATACTCAAAGGAATTAAATTCAGCACATGCTAGAAATAACTGCGTACCAGTGTTTATTATAGCAAAATTCACAGTAGCCAAGTTCTGGAATCAGCTTAGGTGCATATCAGTGGATGAAAGAACTTTTAAAAATGTGGCATATTTACACGATGGAGTATTATTCACTCATAAAGAAGCATTTATGCCATTTGCAGAAAAATGAATGGAACTAGAGATTATATTAACTGATATAAGTCAGAAAAGTATGAGGTTTTACCTCATATGGAATCTGGGGCAGGGGGATGGACACAAAAATAACAGGGAGACTACTAAAGAGGAAGTGGGTCATGAGGGAAGGGCAGAGTAATGGGAGAGTGGATGTAAGCAAAGTAAGTTATTTGCCTATATGAAAATGCCACAATGAAACGCATTATTCTGCATAATTAAATTGCACTTATATTTTTTAAAGAGGTTATTGTAGGCTGGGAGTGTAGCTCTGTGGTAGAGGGTTTGCCTAGCTTATCCAAGGCCTAGAGTGGGTAGGGGTTGTTGTCATCCAGGTGAGATGTTGGTGCTTTGGGCTAGGTAATGATAGTATGAATGGAGAAGAGGATGAATTCAAGGTATGATAAAGACTGCAGGATTTGCTGATGGTTTGGAAGCGAAAGCTGTGGGCAGTTGAATAATCAAAATAATTTACTGAGCTGGTAAAAGTTAGAGTGGGTTCTCTTGTTTGTTTTTTGGTCTGTGGGATGGGTAATCAAGAGTTTCATCTTAGCCCAGCCCAATGGCGTATGCCTGTAATCCCAGTAGTTTGGGAGGCTGAGGCAGGAGGATTGCGAGTTCAAAGCCAGTCTCAGCAAAAGCAAGGTGTTAAGCAACTCAGTAAGACCCTGTCTCCAAATAAACTACAAAAATAGAGCTGGAGATGTGACTCAGTGGTCAAATGCCTCTGAATTCAATCCCCAGTACCCCCGCCCCCCGCCAAAGTTTTGTTTTAAACATAAATTTAAGTTTGCAATGCTTTGTAGATGTCCGGTTGGAGATAATAGGCCATTGGATAACAATCTAGATCCCAGGGAGAGGTCCAAACTGAAGATACACATTTGGGAATCATATCTATAGTTAAATCCATGAAACGTTATAAAGTCATCCAAGGAGACCTTGCCCAAAGAACTCCAATATCAGAACGGATTGAACACGATCAGCGAAATATGAGAACTAGGAGCATGTAAGTTGTCTGAGAAGCCTGGAGAAGAGACACCTGTTAAGACAAAAATGAGATTCTGGGGCTGGGGATATAGTTTAGTTGGTAGCGTGCTTGCCTTGCATGCATAAGGCCCTGGGTTCAAACCCCAGCACCTCACAAAAATAAAGTTTTAAAATAAGACTCTGCTTGTCGGCAGAACTACGTAAAGCGGTCGAAACCCCCTTATGTTGCTGTCATCCTACCGTGAGAACTAACCACAGCAACATCCACCCAATCTCAGCTCCACCACAGCCCCGCCTTTCCTGCTTTCCCAGAATCCTCCGAGCCGACGCCCGCGGCGGCCATTTTGATTGTGGGCAGCCCTGCGGGAAATTGCGCCTGCGCGGTGGCCTTTCCGCTCTGGAGGTCTAGCTGAGGAAGAGGCTGGTGGGCGTCCGCCGCCACGATGACCCAGGCTGAGAAGGGGGACTCAGAAAACGGGAAGGAGAAGGGCGGGGAGAAGGAGAAGGAGCAGCGCGGCGTGAAGCGGCCCATCGTGCCAGCGCTGGTGCCGGAATCGCTGCAGGAGGTGGGGCGCCGGGGGCTGGACTCAGGACCCCACGCCTAGCCTAGGTCCTCCGCGGCCAGGCCGGGGCTCACAACGCGACCGAGGAAGGGAGGCCTGGCGGCCGTTGGAAGGGGTCGGGTTTCCCCGATAGAGGATCATATCGCTAGGGGTGGTGCCGCGAGGTGGTGGTTTCGCGCCGGTCGCTCGCGGGCTGTGAGGGAACGCGGTGCGCAGCAGAGTCTGGCGGTCCGTGCGCGAGCTCCGTGTTCCTCCTGCCGGCTCCGCCTGGCTCTGAGCCCGGCGTCCCCAGCCCGGAAACTACGACGGTGCTTCACCAGCCTCCCAAGTTGCTCTGAGGTTTACGTGGCCGCAGGGAGAGTTTAGCACCCGGCTGGCTCACAGGGAGCTGCAGCTGATGATTGTTACATGTTCAGGTTATTTTCCATTGTTAGCAAAGATTCTTCAAACTTCAAAGCAAGGAAAAGGTAGACATTTTTTCTCTAAAATAGAGATTAAGACCTGCCTGTTCAGAAGAGAACAAGATTAAGTCAGACTTACCAGGAAAAACAAATTTGCATTAGCTTGGCATGAGAGGATCTTTATTGTACATTTGCAAGCACTTTATTCATCAGTGAAGAAAACACCACCTTCTCATAGGAAAACTGGAAAAGATAATGCACAATTCACAAAAGAAATAGGAGGCATTAAATGCTCAGAATTTCACCTTGTCATCTGAGCCAACTTCCTCACCAATGGGGGGTTAGGACAGTTGTAAATGCCTAGCAGAGTGTGAGGCACATGGGAAGCCCTCTGGTGATTATTACTGTTGCAGAAGCCTGCTTTCTCCAGTTGAAGGAGAAGGCTAGGTGGTCTGTATTGGCCTTGCCTGTTCTTACTCCCTGTCATTCTCCCACTTTATACAGGAGCCTATTCCTAGTAGAGCTTGCTGTTGTGGGGGGCAGCCGATAACAGAATATGGTGTGAAATGGGCTAGTACAGAGGATTATACAGCAGACAGTAGGCACTTCCTTCTGCCCTGACAGGGCAGGTTTCTCCAAAGGAGGTAACATCTGGACTGAGACCTGAAGATAATTAGGAGCAGGGGAAGTTCAGAAAGGGAAGGAGAACAGCACGGAAGACACTTGGGCCTAGAGAGGATAGGCAGTAAATCAGGATGTCTGGAGTTGAGGAAGATAGCAGAAGCCATATTGTGAGGATCATATAAGCTGGAGTCTGGCATCTTCTGAAGGCAATGGAGAACTTTGGAAGGTTTCCTGTATTAAGTGCTTCTCTCCATGCCTCCTATGGCTGGGCTGCAAGATTAATGATTAATTTGTTTCATCCTCACATGAGTGCTTGAGATAAGAATGTAATCAGAGCAAAGAAGTAGCTTCTGAATTTGCAGCCAGATTTATGAATCCTAAGCCTGGGCCCTTAAGCACTACAGCAGTCAGTGTGTGTAGCACCCTTTAGTTTTTCCATGTTCTCTGTGATACCTATATTGTTTAATATAGTAAGATTTGTTTAAAAAAACAAGACTTAATCCAGAGAAATAATGTGTGTAATGTATCCATTTTTTAATATATTAAATATGTTGATTACCAAAAAATATTTGTCCACACTCTAAGAAGCTGCATTTTCTACTCCAGAGCTTCCCAGTCAACGTGCTGCAGATTGTAAGCTGTTAATGAGGTACAGGTGTCCCTGATGGTGGGCAGCCTCATCTGTTTACCCCAATATGTTGGACAAATGTCTGCCTTACACAGAATAGCTTGGGAAAGTACGGCTCAACACGTTGCTTCTTAAGAATGATGCCATTGTGATTCAACAAATAACCTCCCAGGCTCCTGTCACCCATATGCTGGGATATAGATTAGTGAACAGGACAGGTATCCCTTCTCATGGAAAGTTTATTGTATGTTGAGGGAGCAAACAATAAATAGTTACAGAAGTGACAATGTTATAAAGGAAGGAATACCATAAGGTTGCTGGGGATGTGGGCAGCAAATCTTGTCTGATGACATTTAACTTCAGACCTGAAGGAGGAGTAACACTTAAAGCAAAGGAGTTGTCTGTTTGAAGGCTCCAAAGTCAGTGAGTTAAGAATTCAAGAGGAACCAGACTTGATGGTGCACACCTGTTACTCCAGCTACTTGGGAGGCTGAGGCAGGAGGTTTGTGTTTTTGAGGCCAGCCTGGCAACATAACAAGACCCCATCTAAAAAAGGAATATAGATTAAGATTAAAGAGGTTAAAATGAAAGTGGTTCTGGAGTGAAGCTAGAGAATTAGGCAGAGGTTCTGAACTTATTGACAATCCACAAAACTGTTTTGAAGGAAGACGGGTAAGAAGACAACTATAGCTTGATGTCAGGGTAAAATAGGTACTGAAGAGTCAGGCTGGAATTGCAATTCTTAATTAAGGCATCCCTGTTGTGAAAAAGATTGTCAGTCCCTTCTCTCATTCCCTACTGAAACTTGGAACCTTCAACAAGTTCATGTAGCAGAAGTTCTCCCAAGTAATTCTATATTCTGCCCTCTTCAGATTTATTGAGCTGAAATGATTGTCATGTAAAAGTAAAGCCCACAGTTATTGCCACCGTCCTGGATTTGTGCTGCTTTGTCAGTCCTTGTTCACCATTATCCAAGGATGGATTGTGAATTGCAGCAAAGTTTTCTGATTTGTGAGGATAGCTCTTGCTATGTCAGGTAAATAATACAGAACCAACAAGGGTAACCTTGTTTTAAAAATAATGCCATAATACATTTGGTAGACACATTTTGAAGTGATTAACATATAAAGTCTTAGTTTCCAGCATTATAAAGTAGTAATTCCATTAATTCCTTCTCTGACCCTTTCCATCAAACCTAAGTAATTTTTATTAATCACCTCAGGAGCTTTTTAAAATTGTCAGTTCCTAGGTGTTCTCCCTGGAGTTTCTGAATCAGAAAACTTAGGACATTTTTTTTTTCAACCTTAACAAATGTTTTAGGTCATTCATATGGATCTTGGAACATAGTATTCTCCATATTCTTCCACCCTCTATACCTTGTTTAATTGTCTTCCTTAGTAAGGTGTCTTCCTTAAACCAGGTGGTAGAAACTTCATCCTGGTCATTGTACCCATAGTCTCTGGTACATAATCACTCAGTATTTATGTGTTAATTTATGTTGGATAATTTTGTTTAAGCAAATATTTGTTTAGCTGTATGCACTCTGAGTCAGATCGAGAGCATACAGATACAAAAAGATGGAGAGCAGTAATTGGATATTTCTAAACTCCTCTACTGAATTATTTTGATACCCTTTTTGAGTCCAGTAGTCTTTACAGGAAACTTAGTTTGTTACCAATGGATTGATTAACTTACACCTGTATATTATTTACTGAGATCACACGCCTGTGTTTCACATTTGCAGCAAATCCAGAGCAACTTCATTGTTGTAATACATCCAGGTTCAACAACTTTGAGAATTGGTCGAGCCACAGACACACTCCCTGCCAGCATTCCTCATGTCATTGCAAGAAGACACAAACAACAAGGGCAGCCCCTATACAAGGACAACTGGCTCTTAAGGGAAGGACTAAATGTAAGTCAAAATAGTGGACCTGGGGAGAAAGCCCAAGGTTGTTTCCTTGTGAGGGCTTAGACACCCAAGAGTATCTGGGAATCTTGAACAAACATCCTCATAGCTTTACTGTGTTTTAAAATAATAACAACTGTCATTTTTTATCTGAACTGTTGATTTAGATTGTGAAGAATTAGTTACAACAAAAATAAATTCAGTTTAACTGATTAAGATTAATTGGATATTGATAAAGGTGATCTTTAATGGAAGTTATAGAATTGTCACTTAAAATGATATGGGTTTTTATTAACTGATAACTGTATTTTCTTTTCCAGACACTTATACTTTAAATCCAACTCATATTTTAAAACCATTAGCAAATTGAACTGCTGTGGCCAACCACTTACTATAGTCTTAGATCAAATTATAATTTCAAGACAAAAAAAATAATTTCCCTGAAGTAAGCATTCACTCAGTCTTATTTTGCAGATGGTAATTATTAGAAAAAAATTTGTGTTAGCTGTTAAATCTGCATATTGCATCATGATCCACTTCTAGCTTTCAAGTTATAAGTTAAGGACAGTTTTAGAAATTTAAATTTTTGTAATTGTGATGGTAACCTTTAGAATTCTCTTGTTTAGTATAACTAGGAGACTACTGAAGTCCAGTTATAAATTTAATTATAATTCGCCCATGTAAGAATCCACAAAATCTTAGTAACTTGTATATTTGGTTAATCAAAATACAATATGTAGAAGGAATGTGACATTGTTACAAAATTGAAATGAGAAATATAGATGTATGGAAGAATCTCTGAAATACTTTGTAAACATGAAGTAGATGTGCTTTGATTAGTGCTGTGAAAAATTTTAACAATCAAAAGTCTCTTGAGGGTATAGATTTTTGCTAATATTTAGGGTTTGGTTAGAGTTTCATTTTTGACTTTTTTATTTACAATAAAAGATTACTTGGAATCCTGTAAATTACTGCAAATGACAGAGATTAAGGAAATGCTGTTTGTTGATGAGGGAGTAGTTCCTAATATTGGATTAAATAGTAGCTTTCTCTTTTCACTAAGTCCTTTATTCTGATCATCTTTCAATTTTTTCCCCTCAGAAACCTGAAAGTAATGAACAAAGACAAAATGGCCTTAAAATGGTGGATCAAGCAATATGGTCTAAAAAAATGTCAAATGGCACAAGACGAATTCCTGTGTCTCCTGAACAGGTTAGTCAACCTTTTCTTCAGATTTATTCTTTTCCACTTTTATTATCATATGTCTCTCAATGTGGGCTATTGTGCAAATAACAGGGTGGACTCACACAAACCTAGATGATCTAGCTGCCTACACACTTATGCCATATGGGATAGCTTATTGCTCCCAGGCCATAAACCTGTGTAGCATGTTATTGTATTGAATACTATAGGCAGTTGTAATGCAATGGAAGGTATATGTGTATCTAAACATAAAAAGTACGTAAAAATACAGAATAAAAGATAAAAGTATACCCGTGTAGGGTATTTATCATAAACAGAGTTTGCATAACTGGAAGTCTCCCTGGGTGAGACAGTGAGTGGTGAGAATGAAGGCCTAGGATGTCACTGTACACTACTGTACACTTTATAAACATTGTATACATAGGCAACACTTAAATTTTTTTTTTCAGAAACAAATTTATCTTTACTAAAACCTTTAAAAAACAAAAAACAGTACTGAAGATTGAACCCAGAAGTGCTCTACCACTGAGCTACATCTCAGCCCATACACACACACATAATTTTTTCTTTTTGAGACACGGTTTCACCAAGTTGCCCAGGTTAGCCTCAAACTTGCAGTTCTTCTACCTTAGCCTCCCAATACCTGGGGTTATAGGTGTTCAGCTCCATACTTAGCCACTTTGCTGTAACTTCTTCATTTTTTTAATAATACAGCTTAAGATACAAACATGGTACAGATGTATAAAAATTTTCTTTAAACCCTTATCTATGTTTTTTTCTATTTAAATTTTTTTTTTCTTTTAAACTTTTCTTGGTTAAAATCTTAGAGACACACACACACACACACACACACACGTTAAGCCAACACGGGGTAAGGATCATCAGTATTACTGTCTTCTACCCCCACATCTTATTCCACTGGGAGGACTTCATGGGTAATAACACATGGAACTATGATAACAGTGTCTTTTCCTGGAATATCTCCTGAAGGACCCTGAGAATCTTTTACAGTTAACTTTTATAAATAAATATAAAATATATGTACATATACATATAAAATAATATTTTATATTAAATATTTTATACACATATGGAATATACTCTATAAAAGAATGGTATAAATATATAAACCATTAACATAGTTTATTATGAATATCAAGTTTAAGTACTATACCTAATTGTACATGTTTTACTTTTGTGTGACTGGAAGAGCAGTACATTTGTTTATACCAGCATCACCACAAATGAGTGAGTAATGTCATGAGTTAGTAGGTAGTTGGAATTTTTCAGCTCCATTATCATTGTTATGGGTCCACTGTCTTATATGTGGCCTATCATTGACCAAAACATCATTATGCGGCACATGACTGTAATACCATTCACACGTTTTCCCTTTTATTCTGCAAATACAAGATGAGATTTCCTTTAAAAAGAAAGAAACTCCTTTCTTAACTGTATATTGAATACTAGAATACTTGAATTAGTGTCACAAATACTTAGGCAAGCCAACTAACTTATAAGGTAGTTTATTAAGGCAAGTTTATAAAAGTTTATATTTTACTGGAGAGTGTATAATCTAGGATCTTGGTAGGAAGCTGTATTCTTAACTGTATTCTTCAATTTAATATAAACCAATGCAGACTTGAATTAGATTTACATATAGATTTATATTCATCTTTAAGCAGTATATAGTTTTAATTTTGGACTGTCTATAAATAACAAAATAGGTGTAAAAATCATGGGAAAAACCAAGATTGTGGAAAAGGACAAGAAAATCTTTCGGTGACTAGTGAATATTTTCCCTAGTATTTTGGATCTGTGATTAAAATTGTTCTGTGAATGAGAGAAACTAAAGGGATTCTTAATGCTGCCCTCCTCCCCTTCTTGTGTAAATTCAACTAATTTTCTTTTTCTTTCTTTTTTTTTTTTTTTTCAGGCACGTTCTTACAACAAACAAATGCGGCCTGCAATTTTAGATCACTGTTCTGGAAATAAGTGGACAAACACGTCTCATCACCCTGAGTATTTGGTAGGAGAAGAGGTAAGAAATGTCTTTACAATGAAATGAAAAAAGAAAAAACGTGATCTTTCTCTTAAAATCCACTTTGCTACCAAGTTCCGATTGTTTCTTAACATTTGGTTATTCTGCTTTGAGGATCAGATATTCACACTGATACCTGGGTTGTTAAATATTTCACATTCAACATCTAAAACATTCAGAAATTGTTGTTCCTAGTATTTCCCCCCCCCCGCCCCCCAGTGCTGGAGATTGAACTCAGGACCTCAGGCGTGCTAGGCAAGTGCTGCTGAGGTACATTCCCCATTTTCTCATTCAGAAATGTTAATATTAATTCTGGTCTTAGTTTTTTGACTCCAGGAGAAGAGTTTTTAAAATATACCTCTTACCCTCCCCGCCTTTTCTAGGCCTTGTATGTTAATCCATTGGATTGTTACAATATCCATTGGCCTATCAGAAGAGGCCAGTTAAATATTCATCCGGGACCTGGGGGCTCCCTTACAGCTGTTCTAGCAGATATTGAAGTAATATGGTCTCATGCAATACAAAAGTACTTGGAAGTCCCACTGAAAGACTTAAAGGTAAGCTAAAATTCCCAGTAAATTTGGATTGTCTTAAAGATTCTTGGTCAACACAAATAGACTTTACCAAGTTGTTTGTGGTACAGTGTCCTTCTTGAAGCATTCTCAACCTTAGGGTGGTGGTCTTCCTCAATTAGTTCCTTTCTGATGACTTCTTTTTTATTGTTTTGCTTTGGGGAGTCTCAGTGCTGTTTGGAAGTCAGCAAGCTTGCTCATGTTTATGTTTTCTGTCTCAGACACATTAGTTATCTTTCATTTTACAAATCTGAGATGATTCCAAGTATGGTGGGGGGAGACTTTGAGTTTCATAAAGAAACAGAAAATGTTAAAGGATGGCACATGTGTTCAAGTTTTTCCTCTGAGCCATTAGCCGTAACTGCTGTGTAGGGAAGCCTCCATAAGGACAGGTGTGGTGGGATTGGACTTAACTGGATGTGTTAACGCTTCCACCTTTTTTTCTTTGTTCTTTTTAGTATTATAGATGTATCCTATTAATTCCTGATATCTATAATAAACAGCATGTGAAAGAACTAGTGAATATGATACTGATGAAGATGGGTTTTTCAGGTATGTGTGTTATTCTAGTGAGACTTATTTACAAATTTTTTAAAATTTTTATTTATCTAATTACTTGTGGTACTGGAGTTCAAACCCTGTATTTCATGCATGCTAGGGAAGTACTGTACCACTGAGCTACAGCCCTAGCCCTGCAGTGAGCCCTACTTGAAATGAAATTGTTCTTTTTTTAGTGGCAAAGTTAATCTAATTCATTGATTCATTTAAATGCTTATTCTGAAAAGATTAATGCAGATACATTCCTGAAAGTTTCTAGGCTCCTGACTTTAATTGTTTTTACAATATGTACTGCTCTCTAGCTGATTAGTCCTCTGCTTTTTGTTTCTCAGGGATTGTAGTCCATCAGGAGTCTGTCTGTGCTACCTTTGGAAGTGGCTTAAGCAGCACATGTATTGTAGATGTTGGGGACCAGAAGACAAGCGTGTGCTGTGTGGAGGATGGGGTGTCTCATCGGAACACACGGTAAGGAACTTGTGAGATGATGTTTCCTATTCCCTCTCCCTTCAAAGTCTGTTCATATCATTAGGGTTTAGAAATGATTTTTATAAGAAATTATATATTTAAAAGTCAGCATAGGAAACCAGCACGATTGTGGGAGTATAAATTCTAGCAAGACTGAAAACAAATGATTGCCCTTATTGGAACTTTCTAGTGTGAATCCATGTCAATAACTCCTGAAAGTCCTGGCATGTATTGTATGCTTTCCCATAGAGGAAGTGTGAATGTTAACTTTTTCTTTTACTGTGGCCTGCCATAGAAAAGCTAATCACACCCTAACAGCAAAGGATGGCTGTTTTCCCATGGTGTCATCAGTGGTAACAAGTTAATAAAATAAATGGCAGGAGCACGTTTGCTGCATGTCCTTCCTAAGACATCTTTTTGCAGGTAAAGCCACTTGGGTAGTACAGGAATGGATTCTGTGCATCATTTTGTGGTCCTGAGACAGCTTTCTTCTGTCCCTTACTTTAGGTAGATTAAGTTTCAGGTACAGAAGAAATGAATATAAACAGGATTCAAGGTGGTCATGAAAAGGTTAATCTACTGCCTCCAATCCCAATTTACAAGACATTCTAAAACCCAATATGAGGGCTGGGGTTGTAGCTCAGTGGTAGAGTGCTTGCCTAGCACATGTGAGGCTGTGGGTTTGATCCTTAGCACCACATAAAAAAATAAATAAAGGTTTTTTGTTTTTTTTCTTTTTGACATTGTTTTTGTTTATTTTATGCTCTCGTATAGCTCTGTTGTAAAAAGTATTTTTCATCACTTTTCCTTTATTCATCCCAATTCATTAAAACAGTTGCATCTAATTACATAAAAACAAGATATTTCTGTGCAAATACATACATGTACATACACTACATAGAAAATATAACTGATTTTTCTGAACAGAGTAATTATAAAAACAAATCATTGACCATCAGGAAAAATCTTTGGGAAACTAAAAAGAACTGATTACAATAATATATAGATGTAATAAAATGTAAACTGTCTAAAAACTATAATTGGCAATTGGATAGAGTCATTATGTAAATGAAACATAACCAAACAGTTTTTTTTACTTTAAAAAAATTTTTTTTAAAATTTATGTATGACAGTGGAATGCATTACAATTCTTATTACATATATGGAGCACAATTTTTCATATCTCTGGTTGTTTACAAAGTATATTCACACCAATTCATGTCTTTATACATGTACTTTGGATAATAATGACCATCACATTCCACCATCATTTCTAAAAATGAAGGTATTGTGTCCATCTACAACTGAAAAAAAAAAAAAAGAGTGTGTGTGTGTGTGTGTGTGTGTAAATAAATAGATAAAGCCCAGTATGAGCTAGCGTGGCTCTGCCATTATTGTTCTCAAAGTATGGAGAAAATACTGGACCCAGGTCTATTTCCATTAAACTAATTTTACAGTGGTCTTCTTAAGTTGTAGAAACTTTCAGTTAGTGAACAATTTTCCCTAAGTCTTTCCCTCATAAGTTTGTCTTATGTTGTTACCTCTTCATGCTTGTGAGTGCAGCCAGCCAAACAATTGTGATCTAGTGAAAGGCCATTAACTTGAAAATGAATTGGATTTAATAATGTATATTCTGTGTTTTGAAAACTTTTTGCAAACAGCAAAAAGCATGTTCATATCATTAGGGTTTAGAAATGACTGCTTCCAGGTGCCCTGTCAACTGGTTTTGGCTAAAGTTCCCTTTGTCCCTTCCACTATCCATTCCATTCTTCCATTCAGTTCTTACAGTAAACATTTGAAAATTTTTGTGTTGTACTATGCCTAAAGGAGTTCTTGAAGCACTCTTTGCACCTTCCTAACTCACAGATTTAACAGTCTGCCCTTTTAACTTTAGGCTTTGTCTGGCCTATGGAGGATCTGACGTGTCAAGATGTTTTTATTGGCTCATGCAGCGAGCTGGATTCCCTTACAGAGAATGCCAGTTAACAAATAAAATGGATTGCCTTCTTCTGCAGCACCTTAAAGAAACTTTTTGTCATTTAGACCAGGTGGGAACAAAATATTACCTATTATTTTTTTGTTTGTAGAGAAAATGTAATATTTAAAAGGTATTTTAAGATTAATTATACTGCTCTTTTAACCCAATTAATAAAGCCTAGAAGCTTTGCTCTCAAGGGGGTGAGAGCTTTTTGATATGGTCAAGATAGTGAGGTGCTCTCTTGAACCCAGAATGCACAGCTTGTTTTTCAGGAGAATTTAGCACATTTTTCTCTGAAGGTGTCTAATCACTGATAAGAATGAAGATAAAACTTTAGGTATAATAAAAGTAACAAAAATACATAGATGTGGACATTTTTATTAAATTTTGAAGCACTTTCTTAGTATTGTGAAGAGTTAACCTTTAAATCATATCTATATGTGTATATATAATATATGCATACATATATTAGATATGGGTTGGCTACCTTTTTTACTTTTTGTATTTGACTTTTTTTCCTCTACTTTTTCAGATAATAGAATTCTAAGTTTTAAGACTCTAAGAAACATAAAAAGGGTCTAGATATATATTAGTTGAGAGAATTTGCTTATTGATTGAGGTCACTCTTTGTATTAATGTTTATCAAAAATGAAAACTGCAGATGATATACATTTCAGAAGTGTTAAATAGGAAAGCAAAGAACAACTGAATTCTTGGTTTTTTTTTTTTTTTTGGTTTTTGTTTTTGGTACCTGGGATTTAACCCAGGGGTGTTTAACCACTGAGCCACATCCCCAACCCCTTTTTAATTCCTTTTATTTGAGACAGGATCTTGCAAAGGTGCTTAGGGTCTCGCTAAGTTGCTGAGGTTGGCTTTGAATTTGCCAGGTGTTTGCCCCCACACCCAATTTGGAACTTTTTTTATTAAGTATAGTGAGAGTGGTACAGAGTTGTAGGGTGGCCTTTTTATTATAAAATTTAGATGATGGAGAGGCTTATGCATAATTTGAGGAGTTTACATGCATTCTTACTGATTTACTGACAGCATCTTTTCCTGGAATCAGGACATCTCTGGGCTTCAGGACCATGAGTTTCAGATTCGCCATCCAGATTCTCCTGCCTTGCTTTACCAGTTTCGGTTAGGAGATGAAAAACTCCAGGTAACCCCATAGATGTGTATATCTTGGGTAAAAATAAATCTATCCAGGCTCAATCAATTACACTGGGAAAATGTGCACTTGCTGGGAACATGGTTTGCTAGTTGGAAGTTGGAGGCAGTATCTTTCTGATTCTTCTTTTCTTTTCATGCTCAGGCTCCAATGGCTTTGTTTTACCCCGCAACTTTTGGAATTGTTGGACAGAAAATGACAACTTTGCAGCATAGATCCCAGGGTGATCCTGAGGATCCTCATGATGAGCATTATCTACTGGCTACACAGAGCAAGCAAGAACAGGTTCATAGTAATTCTGGTGGGAGAAGAGACAATTTTGACCCTGCAGGAGAAGTTTGCCCAGAATTAATAGATCACTGATCATTTATTTCGGTCTTCAACAGACTAACCCTGATACTGCTTGTAGAACTAGAGATGAAGTGTGAATTTTGTTTTGTCTTTTACAGTATTGAAGGTTGACCCCAGGGCCTTCAACAGGCTAGACAAATGCTCTACAACTGAGCTATATCCCTGTCCCTTTTTATTTTTTATTTTGAGATAGAATTTCACAAAGTTGCCCAGCCTTGCCTCAAACTGGCAATCTTCCTGCCTCAACCTTCTGAGTAGCTGGGATTACAATGCCTGATTAAAGTCTGAATTTAAAATCCAGATGACCGACTTCTTTATTCAGACATTAATTCAGTTTTCTGAATGCCATGCCATGTACTTAAAAAGTTAATGAAAACACTTTTCTTTTGCCATAATATTATTTACTTACATTATCTGCTACTAAATATCGATTCAGTAGTATTTTCAGTAGCATCTCACCTACTTTATAATTAATTACATTGTAAAAGGTATATGACATGGGCAAAGAGCTGAATTTTTTTGTTCAAAACTAGTTTCAGTAATAAGAGGTCTGCTGTAGGAGCATAAAATGAAGCTCTTACCTGCTAATGAAACATCAGAGCTCATGATGAAAAATAGATGAGAACTATAAACCTTTTCTAGTCTTTGTTCCTGCCCCATAGGCAAATGTGAAGCAGTAGATAGAACTTAAAAATGAGGATTTTCTAGTAGCCGTTGGCCCATGAATCCTATTGAAATATTTCACTTCAGGAAAAATGTTATCAGTACTAACATTCAGTGGTAGACCCACACTGAGTCCTACAGAGACTGCTTTGGCTTTAGAGTGTGCTCACTCCTCACTCCTAGGTTATCTTGGGATTGGGTGCTGGGCAGTATGTGTATAACTTGCTGGCTTTTGTTTCATAATGGGGCATGATAGGCAGGGAAGGGTAGGATCTAGCAAGACAATATCAACAGTGTTCTGTTATGGTCATACCATCTACTTGATTGTCCTTTTGATTTATAGTCTGCAAAAGCTACTGCTGACCGAAAATCAGCATCCAAACCCATTGGATTTGAAGGAGATCTTCGTGGCCAGTCCTCTGATCTTCCAGAAAGACTCCATTCTCAGGAGGTGGATTTAGGATCATCTCAGGGAGACTGCCTGATGGCTGGCAATGACTCAGAGGAGGCCCTCACTGCACTGATGTCCAGGAAAACTGCCATCTCACTGTTTGAAGGGAAAGCCCTGGGCCTTGACAAAGCCATCCTGCATAGCATAGACTGCTGTTGTAAGCACATTTGGGGACACCAGAAATAACAAATAAGTTGGTTCAATTTAGGGTATATTTGTGCAGTGTATCATGGTCATTCAGAAACTATGGAGCACCTACTCTGTCCTTGCTTTGCCAGGTGTTAGGAGTACAGTAATGAAATAGAATAATTGGTTCTTTGCCTTATTGATTTTATAGCATAGGGAGAATAACATAATTGCATAAATATGAAATTATAATTGTGGTGGGTGCTGCAAAGTTGAACTATAGGGTCCTAAGAGCTCCTGATTTAGAGATGTAATAAAAGAGTTTTACTTACTCTGGGGAAGGTTTGGAGGGTGGGCAGCAGGGAATGCTTTCTTGAAGAGCCATGTGAGAGATTTTAGGTGAGAGCAGATTGTTAGACAAACAGAGTGACATTCCAGGCAGAGGAAGAAAGCTGCAAAGACTGATGTGGGAAGCAGAGTGTGGGAATGAGGCTGGAGAGTAGGTGAGTACCACACCACACTGGACCTCATGGTCCACCTTGAAGGGTTTGGTCTTAATCCTTTGAGTAACAAGGCATGAAGGGTTGGGTGGCGGCATGCTCAGATTTGTGTTTTACAAGGTTCCTCTGGCTGTGTGGGTTTAAGAGTGGTCTAAAGGGAGATCTTTGAGGAGGTTATTGCAGTTGATAAGCAAGAGATGTTTGTGGCTTGGCCTAGTGGTGGTGGTGGTAAGTAGAAGGGATATCTATGTCTTTTCAGCATCTGATGATACCAAAAAGAAGATGTACAGCTCTATCCTGGTAGTGGGAGGTGGTTTGATGTTTCATAAAGCTCAAGAATTTCTACAGCACAGAATTCTCAACAAAATGCCACCTTCGTTCAGGCGAATTATTGAAAATGTGGATGTAATTACAAGGCCTAAGGTGTGTTGTTTCATGGTGCAAATTGAACTGTATGCAAATGAAACCAGCAGTGGTTATTTCTAAGTGGACAGTTAAAACCTGGGAGGTTTGGGCTTGTGTCAGGCGAGGTTGTAAGAGTATGAGGAAGTGCAAAAATTACTCTTGAGTGTGGCACAGATGTGGCAGAAGGAGCTCTGGACTAGGTGACTAAATTCCTGGTTCTGGCCCTTGCTGCACCTGACTTCCACCTTTGTGAGAGAATCAGGTGGGTTGAGAATACTGTTCTCTCATACCCTGACAGCCTCTTATAGTCAAGAACTATTGCTGGTCCCTGGACTAGAAAGATCTTTAAAAATCTTTTTGGTTTGAACTATCTTGAAAAGAAGTATAAATCCAGGAATTTTGAAATACATTGTGTCTGAATTTCATTAAATATAAACCCAGGAATTTAGAAATATATCATGTTTGTATTAAATCTCACTACAGTTCCTGGTGATATTATTTTACTTCGGAGGGAAGGATTGTGGGAATGTATTTATTCCACTCACATCAAAATTATTTTGTTATATATGTTCCTGCTTAAAGGCCTGTTGTGGAATAGTAGTGAAGAGTAGCATGTTCAATAGTAAAAATTAAAAGTGTTCTCTTGTCAGATCAGAGAGGTTTTAGTTGTCCATGAGTCCCGCTGTCTTAATATGGGTAGAAGACCTGGCTTCTTAGGACATGGACTCAGTAGGAATCCTTCCCAGATTAAAGTAAATGAAGTATACATCTTGTCTACTTATACTGAAACAGTTCTATCACTTGTCTAGGACATGGATCCTCGGCTGATTGCATGGAAAGGAGGGGCAGTGTTGGCATGTTTGGATACAACTCAGGAACTGTGGATTTATCAGCGAGAATGGCAGCGTTTTGGTGTCCGCATGTTACGAGAGCGAGCTGCTTTCGTGTGGTGAAATGGGGAAGAAAAGTAGCTGTTGAAGACCAAAACAAGTCTCTTGGTATAAAGGATATGTATGTATGTATTTTAATTTATTGACCTAGATGCTTAATTTTCAAGGAAAAGAAATAAATTTCAGTTTTATGTTCATGATATGACATTGGTTTGAAATTATAATCTTTTGTAGACAGGTCATTTAAGAATAAATATGAACTCTTTAATTGTAGCTCTCTGCCCCTTTCTCAGGGCTTCGCAGTGATATAAAATGTTGCTGTTGAACTTTCTTTTAAGGGGCGAAGAACTTTTTGTTGACCTCTGAGCATTGTCAGCCATACCGATGTGACTTGTGAGAAGGGCCCGTTTGTGCCATTTTCCTCTTATCTAGAATAGTATAGGTGTCTTGAGTTCTGTGCACATGACTCATGTATTCTTGGAATTCTAAATACAAAAAAAGTAGTTTTGGGGGTTTTTTCAATTTTCTGTGGGATTACAAAAAAATGATAGGAACCCATTCAGTTCTAGATTTCTAGAGACAACAATTTAAGGCTTTACTGGCTAGATGTCATCAGACATGCTGTAGGGTGGGTTAAAGAAAACTGTTATAAGAGCAAGACAACAGCTAAAAGGGACATCTTTCCTTCTTAAAGCTATATAGAAATGATTTGGATAAAATTTAGAGTTGTTAGCTTGTGCTGTATAATATGGTAACTGTCAGGATTACTACTTGATCATCAAGCCCCCAGTTTTCCTTTATTTGAAGAACCAGGTGCAAGCTTTTGGAGATTTCTATGTTCAGTATGACCAGTTGCCTTTAACCTGTGAGCACTCTGGAGCAAAATCAAAATAATATAGTCATTAGCACTAGTGGTCCAGGCCCTGAGCATGACTTCTTTGAAAAGGTGTCTCAGTGGAGACAGGAGCCAGTAGTACCTGGAACTCAAGAGACCTGGCAGGAGGGAGAGAATGCCTAACCCCAGCTGTTAGGTGCCTGTTCTTGTCACCACTATGACCAGGACTGCAGATGTGGGGAGAGACAAAATCAGGGAAAGGTAAGAGATGGAGGTAAGAATGTAATATAGAAAGAAATCTAAGGCAGGAAGAAATGTGGTACTGAGGCATTTTGCACAGGTAAGCGTAACCTGTGTAACTCCATCAGTAGATTAGGAATACAAGAGTCCACAAATACATCAAAATAATTTTAACTTGCTAATACTATTTGGGATGTATGATTTCAACTTGAAAATTATCTTTTACAAATTTATACAATATTGATTTTGTGTTTCTGGGTTGTTTCAACACAATTTAGTATCAACTGCCTATTTCAGAAGTATATAGTTGTTTCTGATAGTTCTTCACATAACAGCATATCTCTTTTATAATGGGTATATGCTGATTCAGAGGAAGTTGATTACTAGTCCAAGTTTTGATGTGAGCCATATCCATCTCCTCTTACCAGCACTTTGATAGGCATTGTGAAAACTGTCATGACAAATAAATGAGCCTTGCCACATTAAACATACTGCTTCAGCCATTATTACTAAGTATCCGCTTATGAAGCTGGATATGATGAGTTCTCACTTTACGCTTCTTTATTTGGGTTTTTATTTTATCCTTAAGACAACTATTAGGAGGAGGAAATGGTCTCTTAAGACTGTTCTGCAAATGTACACATTTTAATAGTCATCCATCTGAAATTGACCCCCATTTCAGAGCAGATTCATTTTTACACTGTATAAGTATTCCTGGGAAAATACATCTAATAGAAATGTATTTTTGTGAGCTCTGTATTAAGAAAAAGATGCTTTTAGGAAAGAATTGGAAGACTTTAAATATTTTACCTCTTTATGTTCTATAATGCTGATAGGTTGAAAGTTACCTTTCAATGTTATCTTTTTATAAGTGAGTTGCAATAGTTTACCTAAATAAAAAAAAACTAAGAAGTAGTTTTGTTTTAAACATGAAAAATTATGTAATAACAGGAACTGAAAACTCTTGATAGTGATCTCTAATAGGTAACTTTGGGCAAAAGTAGACATTAGGTTTACAGGAGTATAGTTTGGTATTCATTTAACAGGCACTTGCACAAGAGTCCAGACATGAATCTAGTTTGGAGAGAGAAGGTCCCAAGCAAATACCAAACTTTACAGTTGACACAAATTTGGTTGGCTAAGATGGGCCCAGTTTTATTATTCCCAACTTTTACTATCTTAAAGGTAAAGATTTCTGTTGGGCGTGGTGGTGCATGCCTGTAATCCCAGCAGCTTGGGAGTCTGAGGCAGGAGGATTGTAAGTTCAAAGCCAGCCTCAGCAAGACCCTGTGTCAAAATATAAAATAAAAAGGACTGGGGATGTGGCTCCAAAAGAATAAAAAAAAAAAAAGAAAAATAAGGATTTCTGTGTGTAATAGAGGGTTTTTCTCCAAGAAAACTACTGAGTGAATTAATGAGAGCTTCTTAAATTTAGTATTCATTAATTGAACCTAGAATGTTACAGAACTAAACACTTCTACCAACAGTTCAAGGCATGAGTTATTCAAGATTGGACTTTTGGTTGGAAGATGGCTTAAGCACAATATTATCAGAACGATTATAATTTTCAGTTATAACTATCCTTGATTTGATGGTATACAATTGACTTGGCTTTAATTATAAATTTAGTCTGTTCGTTAATGTTCTAATAGTGGCATTTGTAAAAATTTTATCAGCATAACATTTGTTTTATTTTTTTAGTTGTAGATGGACACAGTACCTTTATTTTATTGATTTATTTTTATGTGGTGCTGAGGATGAAACCTAGTGCCTCATGTGTGTGAGGCAAGCGCTCTACCACTGAGCTAAAACCCCAAACGAGCATAACATTTTTTAATGACTAATCTATGACCTGTATGTTCAGTTTTGATTCTCTCTATTCTGGTTCTAAAACAAGTGTATATATAGCCTTCCCTATCAGTAGCCTGGGTAGTAAATTTCAGGATCATCACAGAGCTCTCTCCAAAACTGGTTGGGTAGGAAGGCTTTGTAGTCTTGCTCTTCTCTTGGGCGGGCTACAAGGGGGAGCAGCTGCTGTGGCAGACTTGTGACCATTTCCCCACTGACATGTGCTGTGTGGCACAGAGAAGTTGTGTTTGGAGAGCCGCGGCATCCTTCATGAGGTGGAACTTAGGGCAGACATGGAGGGCACTGTAGTTGTCTTTGGGATCAGCCCCTCTGAAGCAGACCACTATGTATTTGTGCAGATGAGTCTGGCTACTCAGATCACTGCAGAAAAGATTAAAGGCCAGGGGGAACAGGTCTTGAGAGTTCTCACTGGGGCTGTCCTCGTTGTGGCCACAGGTATCATCGCACATGGCATTGGCATCATTGGAAAGAAGGAAGATTACTTTATCTGCTGCTTTCTTCTGAGTGGTAAGCCACTGAACTGGACCCATCTCAGCTATTTTCTTTTTCTGCCATTTTTCAAGGATCACCTCACTTCTGCAGTTATTTTGAAGAAATTCAGTGAAGTAACAAACTGTGTGATGGAAACATATTTCAGATGGGTGGACCACCAGAACTTTAATGAGGGGCAGTAGCCTTGTAGTAGGAAGGGAAGTGTTCTTGATCTTTTCTGTGAGAGGAGGAAAAGCATTTATTATCTGAACAGTTAAGAGCAGGCTTTCGCCCTAGTCTAAATCACCCCCGATAAGTGATCCCTTACTTGAGAAAGAATGTCAGTGGAGCACTGGGACCTAACTGATTTAGTGAGTATGTTGCAGGTATCATTTTAGACATAGCACCTGAAACATACTCACTAAATCAGTCTTCTCGAGCTTTATTTTTTCAAATAAATTCATAGAAATTATTTAGGCTTAGTTACTATCCGATCTCTGCACTTCACATCACATTTTGAGTTGGTTTAGCTCTGCGGTTGTTTGTACCATCTTCTACCTCCAGGTGGTAGTTTCTGTGTGTTCCATTAAAGTTAAACCCCTGGAACTTAACTGGAATTCTGCCCTCTACTGGACTATAAAAGAAACTACAACTAATACAGTTCAAATAGCATTTCCTAAATATAAGTCTTCCTGAGGTCACAGTTCTCATAGCCTTCTAAGCATAGAACATGGAATTGATCTTGTTCTACATACAACATTGCATGCAACTCAAAGGGTGCATTTACATTTCCTCTTGTACATGTGGAGGAAAGCTGCAGAGTCTTTATTGGGTGGCTGCGAGCTCTGATTCTATATTAATTCCTTGACTTCTGTTGTCAAGTATCAAGTATTCTAGAGTTTTCAGAGACCTTAGTATACCAATTGTTCTTAGGTCTTTTTAAAAAGTAAGGACTAGCGTAGAACATCTGTCACAGGTAACAGTAGACTTCTAGCCATTTTTTGCCCATTTCAGTATTTGTAGAAGCCTCCATGGTAAAAATGAAATAGGTGGTAGGTAGTTACCAGATCTCCAAGTTCTCACTCTGCTTTAACCTGGCAGATGTGATCCAGTTGTTAGCATATCAGGCTCTCTAATAGTGCTCTAAGGCATTAAATAAATGTTGTGTTAACCTTGAGAAATGCCAATGAGATGGCATCTAGAGGAATCTCCTTTTAGAAAGTTGAAAACATGGGGCTTAGGGTGTAACTCTTTGGTAGAGTGCTTGTCTAGCATGCGTGATGTCCTAGGTTTGATCCCCAGCAGTGCCATAAAAAAATTTCAAAATGTGATTTCCTCATATAAGAATACCTTTAGGGAATTATAATCTTACCATGCCTCCACATTAGGTAGATCCCAAACACCAGCACCATGGTGGCCACTAGCAGCAACGAGAGAAGCAAAGGCAGCCAGCCTCCTAGCACGCTTCTATCTGGAGAAAACAAAGCTTACCTTTAACAAAATAAAACCAATTTATTGTGTATTTGAAAACAGAGTTTTACTCTCTGTAGAAGTTTAGATCCCTTTAAAACCAAGGGTCAGATCTGCTCATCAGTGTGTTTTCCCACAGTGTCCAGGTTTCTCATTAGATTCTCCCAAGAGATGTGGGACCTGGGGAGTTCTCCAGAGACTCTTGGGTTTCTTGCTTCTTAAACACACACACAGACATTTTCACTATGGTAACCTGAGCTTACATCAGTTTTGTGTACTTTGAGGAATTAGTGTTATTCTGGGTATATTTGTTATATAAATAGTATACATAGGTGGCATTTTTAAAAGCTGTTTTGTGAGATGGGAAATTATGCCATCCTTTCACAAGAACACTGAGGTTGCCACAGGCTCAGGCACCCTAACACGGAAGTTAGAATTATGAGGCACCCAGGTTGTCCTCAGTGTGTTTGGCTGAGATTCTTAAGAATTAACACCTTCTATCTTTTGACCCACCCCAGGCTACTTGCAGGAATACTTGTCCATCTGTAATAAAAAAAAAAAAAAAATTTAAAAACCTGACATCTCTAGAGAGACAAAACAGTATTTCTGATTTGTTATCCAAATGTTGGCAAAGTGACCACATCAAGTCATAGCCCCACTGAGACTGATGAGAGAATCAGAATGCATGAAATAGACATTCCCTCTTATTCCTAGTCCTTTTACACCATTGACTTTTCAATAGATTCCTGTGGCACTTTGTTCATTGTGACCGTTTCATATATCCTGTTCTGTAAAGTTTCGAATCTGTATTTGGATTTGGGGTTTTATAGGCCAGCACTGGAATCACTCTGTACCCCAGTTCAGCATACACAGGCAAAGGCCCTCGAGACTCTCTACAGACAGAGTTAATGGAGGCTGTGCCTATGACCTGGGCCTCTGATTACCCAGTGAAATGACCAGGCACTTACTGTTATCGGGAGGGAAGGGGACAATTGTCTTTGGGCAAAGCACCACGGTCCCTTTGCGTCTGATACAGTCGTTGCCACAGGTAGGGAAATATGGAATCAACTGAGGAAAAACCAGAAGTTTAAAGTTCACACTACACTTCAGAGAGTCTTGACAGTTTTTCTACTTCCACCATGTCTTCCCCTTTTTTCTGGTTCCAACCTTATCTCTGCATTTGTCATGGACATTTCCCCTTAGTCATACTTGTATAGCAATGCCTAGAAATCTAGAAATCCAGTCTAATGACTGAACATGGAAATGTCCTTTAAGACTCCTATTGATTTTATTATCTAAAGGGGTTAGGTTGTATCCTAATACATATGCAAATATCTCCAGGACAGTGGAGTAGTAAGGCTCATATTAACCTCAGTCAGGGAAGTCCCCTGCCTGGAAAAGTCAGTGGTTTCCTAGAAGAGGAGCACAGTCATAATAAGCTGTGAAAGTCTGCTTTCTCTGACCAGTTTGAGCACTGCCTTCCTATCCCACAGAATGAAGGACAAAAGCTCCTTCCCTCTCCTCTCCAGGGTGGCTGTGTCCCCACATCCTAAAGTCAACAGTTGCTCAACAGTTGCAAGAGATCAGAGAGCATCTATCCAACCAACTTCCATTTCCAGCTGGGTCAACTGAGACCCTGAGAGGACAGGCAGTCACTCTCTAATGTTCATATCACTGATCTGGAACCCAAACCTTCCAACTTCAAATCCTCTGCAACTTCATTTTGCAGTTAAAACTGAGGCTTGGGGAATAAAATGTTTCTCTCATCTCAGTATTACCATGAGGATCTGTGACAGAAAATGGAAATAAAAGCAATCTGGAAAGTCAACAGCTACTATAAGCAAAAGGGACTGTCAGCTTCCTGATCTAACCATCATGAATCCCAGTTAACATCACTAGCATCCCAATGCAGGAGTGAATTTGAGAGAAGTGACTCACCCCATAAAAAAACTCACAAAACAGTGGAACAGTCTTTTAGTGTCCCTCCCCTCCCCAAAGCACCTCACTAAACTTACCTGAACCACAGCACCTTCGCTTTCCTCAGTCACTAGGATGGCTATCGAAGATCGCTTTGTTTTGTTCTGGTGCAGGTGAAATGAAGTCATATGAGTGAGCATATCAAAGACTGTCAATGAAGAAGTCATTTCCCAAACTGACTTTTCAATTCATTATGGGAATAAGGATTCATTTCATACTTTGAAAACTTCTACTTTTGGTTGGTTTTAGTACTATATCCCAGTATACACAAGGATTTTTTTTTAATGTGTCAAATTAATCAAAATAGCCAAGCATATTTGGACAACACATTTCTCTGCTCTCTGAAGAGCTTTCTTCAGGGAATCCTAGTTTCTATGCTTTTTCCTTCAACAAGATAAGGAAGCTGGAGGTTGAGGATGGGGGTGATGATAAGGGAACCAAGGATAGAAGTACCTCAAACACTTGAGAAAACCAAATTCTGGTGCTCTGTTGGATAAGAACCGTGTATCTGTTTCCAAGGGAACTGGTTGTAAAATTCACTTCAACCATCTTCTCATTCTTCTTACAAGCAGTGATGTTGGGATCCCACAGGCTTCCTAAGAGTTGAGAGCAAACCACTGAATGAACTTGCTAACCTTTCCCTTATTAAGTTCCCCAAAGGGCTTTACTAAAAAGAGAAACCCAAGTTCTCAGACAAAAAACCAAGATAATGTCTCCACTACACAGTGTGCTTTTTAAACATTGCTTCCAGTGTCAGAGTACCTGCAGTCCAAGAAAGTTTAGAGACCCCATGCCACTGCTTTGCTAAAGAGCGGTAGGAGGCAAAGATTGATTTTTTTTTTTTTTCACTAGCTTCTGTTCTCAGCTTCTATTTGAATTACGGGCTAAGGCCAGTATTTTCTTCTCAGAATATGAGAAGGAACCACAGGTTGGGATACATGTCTATGATTATGGAGTGAATGAATTTAGGATCAGGAGTACGATGACTTAGATAAGGACACAGTTCTAGGTGCTCCATCCATCACAGCATTGTGCTAGCTTTACTGAATACAAAGAAGGAAGTGCCTCAAAGCTTGGAGGATACTCTCACAGGTGAACTGTGTCAGAAAAAGTCAGTTGTTCCATTGATGTGACTTGCAAATAAGGACAAGGTTGATTTCCATGAACATGACATGTGATAGTGTTATCTTCCCCACCTAAGAGACCATTTCAGGCCCTGGCTTGAAACTATCTTTCATTCTAGGACTGATTTCCAGGCCCTTAGACCTTACTCCCCCTAAACCCCAACCACGTTCCTACAAATTTCTCTCTCCATGAGGCAAGAGAGGAAGCCCAGTACTCCAGGGCTGTCTTTAGCAAGAACAGCATTTGTAGCTTAGTCTGGTAAAGGGTGAAGGATGCCTAAAAGAGACTAATCCCTCCAAATACCACCACTCTTATTAACATCCCAAGACTATACTGCCTGGAAATAAACAAAACTCCACCAGAAGTTGGGTATTTCCGACTGATTATCCTAAAGAGAGTATTCTACGATTCAAGGGGCAGAGTTCTAATAGTCTAGCAATGGGAGAGGTCTAACACAGGTTGAGAGCATACTTCTAGGTTATTACTTAGACTAACACTCCCACCCTAAATGTTTGCTAATCCAAATAGAAAATCCTCAGGTTTCTCACAGCCATAGGTCAGTAGCACTAGTGAGCCTGTGAAAGGACTCAGAGCTCCCTTAGTATCAGGAAAGGCCTTTGATTGGCACCACTATAAGTATGGTTTGGGCTAAAATATTAGTTTAACCAAGCAGTGGAGGTGTTTTCGTATGACTGTTCTAATACATAAAACTTTACTAAGAATCTTTCCCTGAATAGGCTTTCTGCCCCAGTGGGCAAGTGCTAGCCAGGCATCAGGAGCCCTGGCTGCTGCTGTCTTCATCAAGCAACTTGAATACATAACTGCCCACTTTGAGCCTTGGTTTTTTCATCTGTAAAAGAATGGATAGAGCTGTGCTGACTCAATTTATAACTATCTTCAAATAATAAAGAGCAGAGTGCTGTATTTACTTACCTGCCTTGATACACTTTTTTTTGTATTTCATTATGTGGTCTAGGCATCCTGGGAATATGAATGAAACTTGTTACACTTAGGAAAAGGTATCCGTGCTACTCCCTGTCAACAAGTACAAGCACACGCACACATATCACACCTATAGCAAATTGCCAAAATATTCCAGATAAAAGTGAGATAGCAAATCAATGGGACCCTGACATTTTATTCTTGAACAAAAATCATCTGTCCATAGAGTGGTAACCCATCTTAATTTAAATACAAGCTTTATCAAAACAGTTAACAATCCCCAAGAGAACACTTGGAAAGTCACCATGTCTAAAAACATATCTAAAACGGGCCAGGGATGTTGCTCAGTTGTAGAGCATCCCTGGGTTCCAGCCCAAGTACTGCAATCAATCAATTACAAAATAATATTTGGTTTTATCAAGGAAGCTGGGAACTACTGTGTAATAAATGTCATGGTATCAGAAACACTGTGGATGGTGGAAGTGCGTTAATCAAGAACGACCAGAGTTTGAACATCACCTTCACTTTTCCTGTGTATATAGTCCAGCATGAATGACTTGACCTCTTGGTCTCTTCATCTCTAAGATGGGGCTTTCCCAACCTTAGGTTTGTTGGGAGGCTTGGTGAGATGACTCCCATCAAGCACTCAGGCGCACCCATAGAAATGGGTTTTTCCCTTCATTTTACCCGATTTAACCCTCACAGCTCTGTGAGTAAGGAGCAGTTACAACTCTGTATAATGTATGAGGAAACCAAGACCTTGCAAGGCCAAAGCCTCACTTTGACTCTATGAATCAAAGCCAGGGTCCCAGCAAGACAGAATAACTGAGAAGTTGAGAAAGATTACCTGGTGAAGTGAAGTTCACAGACAAAGAAGGGCTGTCTTCATTCATATTTGCGTTGGGGATATTATGGGCCCCAATGAGATAGAGCGTGCTCAGCTCCACAGGAAAGCCAACGTAGGAGAATGTCCACTGGAAGGCAGAACAAGGAACAGCATCTATGTGTTGCCCTTTCCATTTTTACTTGCATCCTTTACACTTCTACTGAAACTTGGGTCATAGCCAATGTTTACTTAGGGAATTGGTGCCAGACAGTCTGCTGGTGTGACTCATACAATCAGAAAAGTGAGATTTTACAGCCAGGATGTAATTTAAGACCCCTCACTTTGCTGAAAGGGAAACTGAGGCCCAGAAATTCTGACTTGCCTAATGCACAGAAGTGGCCCAAACTGGGACTTGGACTCAAGTGTCCTGTTCTGTGTCACAGCTGCTCATCAGCCTATTTGAGCAGTACATGGTTCATGCTCCCCTTTCAGCCACATCCCTCAAAGTGCTTACTTTGCCACCAGAGGGTCTGGTCTGACTCTGGAAGGCCTCCGTGTAGTTGCACCTCACACAGGCATATGACTGGAAGTTGTTTTTGCCTGTCACACAGATCTTGGTGGCCTTCAACAAGCGGATGCTGGCTGCAGAGAGTTGAGACATTTGTTTATTTGTCACTTACTATATGACTGGATGCTAGATACTTTACATGCTTCATTTCAGTCCTTAATCACGATAGCACCAAAAGGTAGGCCTTGCTGTCCCCAGTATACAGATGGAGTCAGTGAGGCTCAGGGAGTTTCAAGCAGCAGTGCCTAGCTTTCACAACTTGGGTGTGAACTCTCAAGATACCTGTGATTAGCTTAACATGTGTTCTATTCTGGATCTCTGAGAGGAACAGGCCTGCATTGGGAACCCCACAAAGACCCTCCAAGAGTATCATCAAGCCATGCATGTCCTGACTGCTTCTTTTTCCACACTGACTCTTCTCCGTGGCATGTCCTTTCCTCCCATTCCTGCCTCTGCAAGTCTGACTCTGGTAAAGTCCAATATGTGTACCACGGCCTATAACAAGGCACACAAAGAGCTCATTTTGCCAGGGATGGGGCAAAGCCTTAGTGTATCATCTCACAAAGGAGTCTTGCCAGGGCCTCCCTCCTGGTCTTCCCTGCCTGCATCCCACTCACATTGGACACAGTCCCCTTCAGGGCGTCCTGGTCACTGCCTGTGTCTGCCTCCCAACCTCTCTGAAACCTTATGGGGGGAATAATTGACCTATCTCTCAGTGCTTGGCACTCATGTATTTTTGGCTGCATCAAATTTAATTTATCAGATGGAAACTATAAACATGGGCACTGAGATCCTGGGTGGATCCTGGAATTAGCTCATCTGAAGAACCTGCCAGTTGCCTTGGAGTGTAATCTAAGGGAAATGCCAGAACTTTCACAATATTATTTGGGAAGTAGAAAAGTAGCCTAAGTTTTCCTTAACTGGGGGAGTTATCGCTGGTCTTAACCCATCTTCTTCCATATGGAAATATACCATGTCATCAGTGTACCACTTAATGACTTTGCACATTCATGCAGCCAGTTTGGGTTAAGAAAACCCCTGGAGTGCCCCTCATGCTTCGTTCAGTCATCCCACCCCCAAAGTAACCACTATCCCAACTTCTAACTTTGCCCACTACATTCATTTTGCCCTTTTTTAGAAAGCATCATAGTTGTAGGCATGCATATAGACATCAGTGCATAAACTCTTCATAACCTGGCTTCTTATGTTTGTGACACCTATATTATGTGTAGTAACAGATCATTTATTCCTATTGCTGTTTTGGATTCCATTTTTCCATTGGACATTTAAGTCTTTTGGGTTCTTACAAATAGTGCTGCTGGGAACATCTTAACCAGTGGCTTTTGATGCATGCATGTATGTATTTCTGTTGGGTATGCCTAGGAGCAGGATTAATGGGTCATACTGCCTGCACACTTCTGGTTCATTAGACACTTCAGGACTTATCTTTGATTTGCATCAGCAAACCTACCATCTGCTCGAAGTATCCAGCTTATGTTCATCAAAATTGAATAGTCCTCTGTTGCAGCACTGGTTTTAGCAAGTTCCACACGGAGGTCCCTCAAGTCCCCTGGGGTCAGATTGTGTTGGACCATCCACTCTGGAGACGGCCCTGGGAAAAGGCAAGATTTCCCATTGACACTCCTCTTCCCTGCTGAGTCTGATATTATCTCCTGTAACCAAATCACCCTGCTCCATCCCCCATTCACAATTCATTAATTCTTCCTGCTAATCAGGCCAAACATTTCTGGGTGCTGGCCAATTTATAGCTGACGTGATGCTGAACTGAGATTAATGCTTTCAGCCTTCTGGCCTCAAACTACACATCCCCTCAAACTACTTTAGGTGCCCCTCTCCATGTGTGGACATGCTTAGTGTATTGCCGTGTTCATTAGGGTCAGTCCTGCCATCCCTGTGCTTCAGCATAGGACTTCAGCCAGTTGGCATATACCACCACATGTACCCACCTCCTAGCCTTTGCTGCTGCAGCTGCTCTCTCTCCTCCAGTTTATTCTCCCTATTCACATTTCCTGGGCAGAAGCCCACCCATTCTTCAGCGTTATACTCTCAAGCATTTATTCTACAAATATTTGCTACCTGGTCCTAGTTATAAGTGATCTCCCTCTCCAGCACTTGATCTCTCTTTGCAGGGAAGCAGGCATTGCTTTCTGTCTTGCATGCTGTGCCCCCTGACTGGTCAGGAGGCCAACCCATCTCAAACACCTCAGTATTCCCCCAGAGTTCTATCTTAAGAACTTCAAACACATCAGCTAACAGGCTCATCCTTTACCTGATCTCCAAAGACCCACTGCCTGAATTCAGGCCTTCTTTGAGTATAATGTCCCAAATAACCATTCCTAAGGCACCTACCAGTTTCAGAGCCACACTGAATAGTCTGCAAGAGAAAAAGAAACCAAGTGTCATGTTGAAGCCAGTAAACCACAAGCCTTCCTTTACCAAACCAGACAACACACTATCTTTTTTTGTTAAATACCTACATAAGTGACAAACTTTCAAAGTAAAAATGAGCTGCTTGTGCTTCACAGCTAGGGGAAACTAAGCTATGATTGGACCATGGATTTGGCCATCAGTATGCCTGCTCCTCAAGCTGACCCATCAGTTTACTTGAAGACCAGGAGTGAGTCTCTGGGCATTAGCCTTCTCTGCCTCTAGCCAGGGATGACTCTGGACCATTATCATGAGGTCCCTTCACACTCCAATGCTTAACTCCCAGTTTTCAGGATGGTCTGGAGTATATGAGTTTCATGGTCAGGATTGGCTGCACTAAGAAGATGAGCAGAAGAAAGCATTGAATGCAGTCCACAATACCTTCCTCAGGTTTTTTTCACATATTTCTCTTCTAATACAGAAGGACTTACTAGAGCTATAAATAAAAAGAAAACCATAAACAACTAAAGAAAACCATAAACAACTGTCACTTCATCCTGTTGTCTTTTTAAAAGAGCTTTCAAAATAGCAAATATGTATCATCAATGTCCAAGAAAGATCGGTGAGAAACCCTTTGAAGTTAACTGTTTTTTTCTTAAGAAATATTTAAAAATTTGGTTTTGGCATTACATACTCAACCTAAAACATTTAACTCTCAGATGGGAGCAAGTTCCAATGATGAAACTCAATGTGATAAATTCACCAGGTCTGGAATCCAATCCCTCTAAACCTCCACATTTCCAACACCTTGTAAAACAGAAGACAAGAAGACTTTTGAGGGTTTGAGTAATTTGGGTTTAGGTGAAGTTGTCAATCATCCCTTTGTCTTTGTGAAACTGAACTCTGGAAGGATATCATCAGACATTCTTTTTAAACAAATAAGCCACCATACTGGAAACTGAAGTCTTGTCAGACAAAAGAGCTGGTGATGCAAGTGTTAGGAAGAAGCAAAGCAATAGCTCTAAACTTGACAGAGTTAATACTGTAGACCTTACAGTAACTGCCACAAAGGCAATGAATTCTTGCTGCAGCGGAGAATGTCAAGAGGACCTCAGAACAAAGAGGTAGTAGCAGAAGGCATCAGGACACAATGGATGGGTGTCCATAACCATGAATAAGTAACAACCATACTTTTAGGCTATTTGCTA